CAAAGTTAGTATTAATGATCTTGGTACTGGTCATTTCTGTACATGGGGTGCAGGACGGTATGTGAAATATATTTACTTGATTACAGCAACAAAGTTGACTAATAATTTATAGTAATTGCGAGGCAAATGAAATAGATTATCCTTGTTTACATGTTGGTAAAAAGCTCACTATGAAATGTGCCAAATGCGAGCGAATATTGTATGAGAAACAAAAACTATGCGTGTATAGTTGTGGTCATGCCGTACATCGCAAGCATGCAGGGCTGCTTGGGTATATTATAAAAGGTTAATTGCAAAAGTCCTTTAATTTAGTAATAGATGTGAAAAATCTTACTGCGGTCGGACAATAACTGTAGTTGCAAGGTAGAATATTTAATTTAAAAATAATAAAACAATTTAGTAAAAAATTTAATCTAAAACTAAAACAAAAATTAACTATATAATTAAGTTTTATAACCACATTTAAATTTGAAATCTTTAAATAAATCCTTAAAAAATTAGATCAATTTTAGCTTTATTAACCCTAAAAAATCTATGTTTGCAGATATTAATTCATTTTTAAACAATTTTTTAGAAATTTCGGAACTGATGAAATTATTGATCTTTCGATAGTAGCTATAAAAAAGAATGAATCGAAGAAAAATAGATATTTATATTGGTGCACGTGCTGTGAGGATTTATACAACAGGAAGGATCAGCGTTTACCTCATGTTGAATCGGATTCGGAGGATGACGTTGGCTCTGATGAATGGTGTAAGAAACATGCACCCTATTACACTAAAGAAGCAGTCAATAAAAGAAGAGTAGCAGCCGGAATGAAACCCTATTCTGAATTAGATTTTGCTCTTATAGACTCAGGACAAATGGTTGAAGATTCCTTGCCCAGCGATGAATCAGAAAGAGAAATAGAAAGAGAAAGAAGACTAGAAGAAGATACTTGCACGGTGGAACAAAAATGTGAAATTGTGAAACTAAATAGTTCTGGTTCAAAGTCAAAATTACCTGAAAAAATTATAAAACTTATCGAAAGGATATTTAATGCTGAACTAGGCAGCCATTCAACTGGCAATGAGGTTTTTAAAATTTTACGCTTAATCTTGAAAAAAAAAATAAATTTTAATTAAATATCCATTTTAAGTTTGTAAGGACCGCAGCTGGATTTGTCTACAACAAGGAATCAGACTTTGGGAAAAGAGAGCTGCCAGAAGACATATTTGATATAATTTATAAAAGGTTGAAGTGCTCGATTACGGTATAATTTATTTTGAAAATTAATTTTAACAAGTAATCAAGCTTGTTGACCGAGGCACATATGAATATGATTTAATAAACCAGTACTTGAGGCTTTCACATTCACCATTACATACATGTAAATTGAAAACTATAGATGTAAGTTTTATTTTTTGTAATATATTTAAAAATTGCTAAATATAATTTTTTATATTATAAAGATATTTAAAATTGAAAGACAAGGAGATTTACGAAATTTTAAAAAAGAAATTGGAAATCGTTATCTTCTTTGGCATGGAACTTCATTACATAATATAGCTGGAATACTAAGAAGTGGATTAAGGTTAAAAATTTAATAAAAAAGTTTAAACTTAAATTAGCTACATTAGCTACATAATGAGTAATAACCTGCATTTATTTAAAGAGTTGCTCCAGACGAAGCCTATTCAGCAAATGAATATAATTATGGCAAAGGAATATATTTCTCTGATTTGTCAACTAAAGCAGTAAATTATTGTTATACTAAACAGAAAGACTCAGAACAGTTGCTATTACTTTGTGATGTAGCTATGGGTAACATACAAGAAGAAAAATATGGACGGAATATTACCAACCTTAATAATGGCAAAAATAGTGTTAAAGGTTATAAAAACCGAGTTCACATAACTTTTATATTTAGCATATGGTGATACTATACCAGATCCTAATGAATATTGCAAAATTGAAGATATTATTGTTCCATGTGGAAGAGTTATTAATAACAAAGCAATGAAAGGATTGTCCGAAATCTACAATCAGTTTGTTTCATATAATTTGTAATATCGGCTTTGAGTTTCCATTTTTCCCAGCCTTCCATTCCTTAAATTACACTAAAATATCTAATAACAAATTCTAAGATACCGAGTCAGCACTTCATTCTCCTATTCTAAAAGTAAATGAATTAATAGAAAACGCAACAGAAAATAGTTATTGACTATTATATTTATGTAAAATTAGTGATAAATATGAAAAAAGCTATAGGGTTTAATTTAATTTTTTTATTATAGCTATGTAATTTATGACGCTACACAAGTACAGCTACGTTATATTGTGAAAATCAAAGTTGACGAGGAAGATTATAGCCAATATTATCGATAAAAATATAACATGTAGCAATCGCTTTTCCATGTAATATGCCAATTATTTTATTTAAAATTAGTTATTATTTATTTATGTAAATTTTAAGATAATTTCTAAAAAAATTTAATTTTTGATATAACCTCCTATGTGCCTTTTCATTATATAGTTTAAAATTTATTGTATATTATTACATTGTATATAACCTTTGCAGCACTTATGACGTCCCACTGGACAGAATTCGTGTTGCATAGTTACATATACAAGAAGGTATTTTCAAATATTCAAAATAATTGAAAGACTATTAGGGTATGGAAAAAGGCACAAAGGAGGGCCCCGCTAAAGAGGTCGCCTTCGCGTGGCGCGGGGTGTGAGTACACTAATGTTTTTATTTTGCGAATATAAAATATTAGTGGAAACCGAGAACCTCAATATAAAAAATTTGAACATTTTTACCAATTGAATATTATTGTCGTATATAAAAATGTTTACCAATAACTCTTGATCTTTATGGTTTAAATTTACGTAATTTATATTTTTTTATCCGCGCGTAGCGCCTAGAGACAGCCCTGGAAGGCAAAGCAAAGTAACCAAACCCACCATGGGCGCGCAGCGCCCATTCGGCCGCGGAGCGGACGAAGTTTGGGCCGAAGGCCCTAATGGGCAAGGCTTAGGTTCCAACACCCATAGAATTACGCACTGTACCGCCAAGGCCAAACGTACTTCGGATAAAGCATATGTATTTCTTATAGAAGAACGCGATTTGCTACATAACTAGCCCGCGAAGCGGGCTAGTTATGTAGCTTGCCGTTATATAAAAACGAGATATGGTCTCCAACAGAAAATGATTTTAAAGAGTATATAATTTAAATATAAAATAAAGTAAAGCAGGTGGGCTATAGCTACTATTTCTCTCCTTTAGCTAGTTCAAAAGATTAATCGGCGGCTGGGTGCGAACCAGCATCTTCGGTAGACCGGACTGATCCATTACATCACGCCGCCTACTGCACAGCCTTAGGAAATAAAAAAATATGCTTTACAGTAATAAAATTAAAATAGGTGCCAAAAAGGAGAACAAGAATACAAAATTGGCGAATTTGTCGAAGTAAAGAATATGAGCAATTTTACAGGCAACACAGAATGGTTATTAGCAAAAATTGTAAAAATTGAAAATGAAAAGTATAAAGTTGAACTGAAAAATAATTCGCTTTCTGGCGTAATATTTACCCGATGTTCAGAAGATATACGGAAATTTAATGTTGACTTTCAAATTAACGAAATAGTTGAAATTTGGAATTATAATGAATGGGTTTTAGGAAGAATATTAGGAAAAGAAGGGGAGGAGTATATCGTTCGTATTGAAAGTGGAGAATTTTGTGGGGAAATATTAAGGTGTTATCCAAATAATTTAAAAAAGCATAGTGAATTGGAGGAACATTATGAAATTGATGAAATTGTTGAGGTAATTAACACTGACAAAATAACAGGAGAAACTAATTGGATTAAAACAAAAATATTAGAAATTAATAGAGGAAATAATTATGTTGTAGAGATTGTAGAGAAATGTAAATTGAAGGGAGCTGAATTTAATAGAAATATTTCTAATATTAGAAAATTTAAAAGTGAAAATAATTTTCAAGTTGGCGAAGAAGTTCAAGTTTATTTTTATGATAAAATTGAAGACAAGACGGAATGGGTGGAAGCTAAAATATTAGAAATTAAAAATGGAATTTTTATGTTGAAGAATGAAACAAATATACTAAAAGAATATTATTCTTTTAATTTAAGAAAGATTAATTCTAAATAGAAAAAAGAGAAGTATCTTTTAATGTGTGAAGAAAATTATAAAAGAAAATTTTAAAAGATTTAAATAAATTGTTCTACATATATAAAGAAATAAATGTATTTTATGGAGATTTTTGAACTTTTATTGGTGTGTCCGCACCTGTAGAAAGCACATAAATGATTAGAGGCCACGAAAAAGACTCGCTCGGGCTGGCCCGAAAAAAATGACTCGAACGTCGGCCCGACTCGAAAACGGCAACCCTAATTATATTATATGGAAACTCTCGATTAATACGCTGATAGGGCAAATTTTGCTTACTTAAGTAGGAAAGTGATGTGTGAGGAGACGGCGTTGTATATTTAGACAAAACAATATAATTTATTGTTTCGGAGTAAATCCTCGAAAACCCGGTTTTTTAGACACAACAGTTTACACACACATACCCACTTCCAACTTTCTTGGTTGGAAGTAAGTTAATAATTTTTTATTTTGTAAACAATTTCTACAGTAGTTTTATATTTACAAATGTTTCGAAATTAAAAAATGATATGGAAGATTTTCGGTTCAAGATATACAGGGCCCATTAAAGAAAGGCAAAATGAAAAAAATATCTGATCAAATAGAATCAAAAAATATTAAATATTTGATTTTCCTAAGTCAGATTACTTGTTTTTACGAGTTCCCAAGTATGTGTCCCAGCGATGTGGAAAAATACTAAAAAGATACTGGAAATAAGCTAGATAATTTGTTATTCGGTTCTTAAAAGATCTTTAGATTTTCAGAAGTAAACCTAAAATTTTTGTAAATCTTGAACCAAATAACTAAGCCAAAGAATCCTCGATTATTCTATCAAAAATCGAAGAATATATCACCAAACTTGGCATCTCTTTTTTGGATTCATTGGTGTACCAGATTGACATTTAAAATGATTGGAGAATTGTGGCATGTTGGCAAGAACAACATTAACCCTAAATTATATTTTATTTTTAAAAATTATGCTTAAAATTTCTTTAAAACATTCCATTTCCTTCCACACTACTTAATTACATAGTTTAATGCCGTTCTCAAAATAACGTAAGGTTCAATTTAGTTTATGTTTTTTATCCTCCTCAGACTATCTGCGTGATCCTCTCACAGAAGCTCCAAATGATAAATTAATGCCCTTTTCACACTATTTTTCCTTAACACTAATCTTTGTCAATTAACTATACCTTGCTTCAGGAGGAGAATGTACATCATAAACAGCTCCAAAAATGGCAGCTTCAGGGCGTTGGTTTGTACACCAACTCTTAAAAAATTAAATAATTTTTTTCCTAAATCTTACACCCACAAAGGCGTAGTTTATGAAGAACAATTGCTCAGCGCTAAACTCCTCTAATCCTTTCAGTTTTTGTTGAGAGGCTATAGAATTCTTTTCCAATGCTATTTCCATTGCATTATATGCAGCTCTAAATTTTTTAAAAAAATTTATAAAAAAATCTTTCAATTAGAATTGACCTCATCCCTCCATTATCTGCTATATTTTCACCTTGAGTCATTTTTCCATTAATCTTTAAAAACAAAAATGGTATATAAGATACCTAAGGTCCCTAGGCTAAGTCTATTTTATGACTAAAATTAATAAAAATTTTTGGCTTATAATTAAGCATGACAGGATCCGAACTGATTTAAATCTGAAATTAACTCTGAAATTATGAAAAAACCCGGATTTGGGAAAAGAATTCTAGTAAAGTCTGTCTGGTTAGCCCCCGTCGTTATACATCCATTTTGTTAAGTAGGGATCTTTTGGCTAGTATGAAACGACGGTTTTTCAAAAAAATTCAAATTAAAAAAAGATCGACAGACATGTAATCCATCCAATCCATTTACTGTAATAGCATCATATTGTTCAACAAAACATTGTTTTTGTTTTTGAAATGCTGCAGCAGTTTCCTTCTTCCACCAATTCCTAACATTTCCAAATTCATCGTGTAGTCTTCCGTTATTATCGAACCCGTGTGTTATTTCGTGTGCCAATACTACACCGATTGACCCGTAATTCATTGAGCTAAAATGGTTTAATAAATATGTAGATGAACGAGAGTAATTTGGATTTTAAAATATTATTCGTTATGTCGGTATGGTTGTCAGTTCTTGTATAATCTTTGAATATTTATTATACTATCGGTTCAATTAAGGCTAGGTTATTTAGGGTTGGAATTTTTTATTCGTCAGTTCAATTTCAAATCGACATCCCTATACAACATCGATGTTTCATCTAATGATATAATGAGATTTTCCAAATTTTTAAATATTTCTCAAAATTTATACATTGGACGAGTAGTCGAATTGAAGAAAACACCTTGTAAAATACCTCCAGTCAAAACTTTTAAATTAAAAAATTTTTTAAATAATTTTTTCAATTATTTACCTATAACATTCTTAATTGGATAATAAAATCCGTTAATACCCAAACTGCTAAATTCAACTTCAACAGGATCTAATAATTGAAGCATTGACTTTTGATTCATCAAAATATTTAGAGAATCCATTGCTTCGGCAAATGGTTGGCCGGGAATGACGGTAAACTTGAAAGAATTATTTTAAAATTTTTTAGGAGATTTTGGGAAAGTTTGATGAGAGAAGTAGAATACATATTTTAATTTTTCAAAAATTTTCGAAAGCAAAAAAATTTTCAAAAAAAATCAAAAATTTCATGAATTTTTCGAAAAATAATTGAAATATTTTGTTAAAATATTTTTGAAATATTTAAAAAAGATTATCTAAAAATTTCTTAAAAAAGTATAAATTATTTTCATAATAAAATTTAATTTTGCACCTCAGAATACAATTTTTCAAGCTTTGTTTCATTAAATATGCTGTCCATATACCCTATAAGCACTCTCAATTTTTGCAACTTTAAATTAAAAATTTATTTAAATATCATTATTTTGATATTTTCAAAACCTTTTCAAAAGCCGCTATTTTTGTTTGTTCGTCCATCCACTAATTTAAAAAATCTTTAGTATAAATTTAAAATAAACAAGTTTTTTTCAAACCCCATTATGATCAAGCATTGAATGAAACTCTTTTTTTACGTTTAGAAACATTTCTTCAATTTGTATCTTTGTGGCATTTACGTTCATATACCTTTGGATATAAACTAAAAATTGAAAAATTAAATAAATCGGATAAAACTATCATTTTTAGAGACTTCAAATCCTTGAGAGACTTAAAAACTTCATAAGACGTGAGGGCCCAAATTAGTCTCTCAATTACAAAAGAGACTAAGTTATAAACGCTTATTCATCTTACCACAGACTGACGGGAGGCATTCGAAATCCTCATAAGCTTCAAAAGAGCTTATGAGTTCCAAAAATTATTTTTAAAAATAATACTCATCGACCTATCAAAAAAATAACTTATTTATAACAACAATATATTACAATTTGCTCCAATCCTGATAAGTATTAGACTTAATTAAAGCAACCAAACTACTTACCCCTCTCAATAAGTGCCGGGAACACATTAATCAACACATTTTTGCATTCCTTCCAATGGGCAGGCCTCTCTACTGAGCCTTGTAGCACTCTGTCTAACTCCTAATTAAATTTAAAAAATGGTTCTTAAAGTCTTCATTTTTACAACATACAAATCCAACATCTAAAAATCTGTCATCTAAATAAGTTACTTCACTAAGAATTAATTTCCAGTCCATATAATCACTTAATACTTGACCAGACAAGTTTTGAGCTAATCTATCGAATTTCTGAAATTTATTGTTAAATTGGTAAAAAGTTTAGTAAATTTAGTACACATTATTTTAGAAATTACTTTAGAAATGAATTAAACATCCTTTCTATCTTTTAAGTTCAAGTCTGTATAATAAGATTTCCTGGCATTGTTTTCAAGAAAGTTACCCAAAGTAGAGTTTGATACAAAGGGAGGCCAGAAACGTTGGTTGGCGTTGGCCAGAAAAAATTTCCGTTGGCCCAGAAACTTGGTATTGATAAAATCAGGTTTCGTGGGTTTCATTCCGGAGTAAATTATCAAGTTCAGTTTTAAAGAAAAACCCCTGGGCCTCATCAGGGAAAATAATCATAAAAAATAATTTCACCTTAATTAGAGTAACTTCAGAAATTCTAGCCTCAACATTAGCCACCCCATCAGGATATTTTTGTAGCAAAACTTGTTGGGGTAAAATATTTTGAAGATATCTAACCCAATTAATAGACCCTGCCAAATTATTTTGAAATTTTTGTATGCTTAAATATTCATCATCAGCATAAGCATTATCCTGAAAAATAAGTGGAAATAAATTCAGAACTCATTTTAGACTTGAGGCGTGACATTATATTTTTAATCGGGTGTAGTATGTTTAATAGTACTTCGCGTAAGCAAATCCCATATTCGAAGCCAATAATTAAGGTTATCTAGTATTTATGGGTACATAGCCCATAGATTAAAGGAAATCCAAGTCTTGATCGAGACTTGATCAAAATCCTGGATAATTTTGTCAGATATACTCCAATCTCTATTGACTGCTTAATTCATTCATTGAATATTTTAGCCTTAATACATAAGTAGACCCCACCCCCTCCAAAAAGCAATAAATTTTTTACGTCGGCAAGATCCTTGCTATTAATTAGGGCTCTTGTCCAGTTCATGCGTCCCATGAAGATTTATGCGTCCCAAGAGAATTTATGAGTCCCATAAAAATTTATGCGTCCCAAAAATAACTTATGAGTCCAATAAAAATTTATGCGTCCCAAAAATAATTTGTGCGTGCCATAAAAATTTGTGCGTCCCATGAAATGAAAAAATATTGCAAAATTAAAAAAAAAACATTTAAAAAATGTGTTTGTTATGCTTGATTGCTGAAGGGCCAACGAGTCAATTTTTTGGGCCAATGTTATGTTAAGTCAATGTTAAGTTATAGAACTCGTCGAGCTGTGTCTAATGACACCAAAATCGAAAAAAATCCGACTTGATTTGACCGAAATACAGACCCCTGAAAATTTAAAAATCACACAAATTTGTACAAATGATAGCTCATTCGAAAGAACTCGTCAAGCTGAGTCGAATGACACCAAAACAACTTGATTGGACAAGATTTGACAAAGATATGACATTAAGTAGACCTATCAGAGTCGGCGACTTAAGTCAAAATTCTGTCAAATTTTGTAATTTTTGAATATTTTTTCAATTCATTTCATGGGACGCATAAATTATTTTTGGGACTCATAAATCTTCATGGGACGCATAAATTTTTATGGGACTCATAAATTTTCATGGGACGCATGAACTGGACAAGAGCCTTAATTAGAGCCCGGACGGAGGGGTATGTCGATATTTTTCATAATATCGAAAAATATAAATCGAAAAATATCGAAAAAAATCGTATCGAGCCGGGCTCAAGTATTGATAAATAAAAAATAAAAGTTTACATAATGTTTGTCTGTTTCATTAATTATTTTAGCCATTTGAAGTTCAACTTGAATAAAAGAATTTACTCTACGGCTAATATCTTCTTTTTTGTTCAATTTTTTAAAAATTATTTGTTCATTATCGTCTGTATATAATAATTCTAATAATTTAGTTAAATATTCCTTTAACGCTTCTAAATATTTTGGTGCCATATTTTCTTCTAAATAAAGCTTTTCACTCATTAAAAACACGTTGTTTGGATTTATCTTTAAATAATTTTAGGTTAAATATTTAGGATAATTTCTGATCGAACAAATAATATTTACAAAACTTTAAGAATGTTTTACAATTACATGTAAACAAATGTTTAGGGAACATGTTTCTCGAATAGAAAAACTCCTGGAATATAATATAAACATGTTTAAGAAACATGTTGTGGAGAGTTGCGTAAACATTTATTTTAAAACATTTCTCTCAATCTAAAAATATCTTACAAAACATCCAACAGTTATAACAACCCGAAATCAGAAACATGTTTGGTCCGCACAAAAACATGTTTATTAACCTACGCAAACATTCTAAGTAATAAATAAGTGGGTGAGGGGCAAAACTTCGTTTTCCAAAACTTCGTCCAGTCAAAGACCGAAAAACCTCAATCCAAAGAAAAAACTACTGGGCCGCATCCGAGGAATTGGGAAATAAAGAAATGGATTCTTTTGAGGGAGATAATCTTTTAAAGTTTCACGACTTTTTGGAAAAACATTTGCTAACAACAAAAACATGGGAAAAATATTTAATGTTTTTGAATAACAAACATGTTTTAGAATTTATATGTTTTGTTTAATGTTTCAATTTTGAACTCATATAAATAAACAGAAAAACATACAGTAATTATATTTCTAGAAGTGTTTCTCATATCGGGTCCAACACTAATTTGGTAAAATAAATTAACTGGCCACACCTAAAAATTTTTAATTTTAAAATATTAAATGTTTCTTACGTTAATTAGCCAGTCAGTAATGTACCTCATATCCCTTTTTTGTTTAAGTTTTCTAAAAAAAATTTTTTACATAATTATTTAAAGAATTTTTAAAAATTTGCCTCAATTTTTGTAGCAAAAGGGAACTTCCAGTTTTTAACCTATTAGCAATATCCAAACAAGAATCGTATAAATTAAACATCATTTTATCATAAGGGGGGTATGAATGGAAAGTTTGGCGATTATCAAGAATTTCTTTAAAGAATATGAAATAATATTTAATCGAATAATGATAATACAGTCAATCCTCATTTTTAGAACACCGAAAATTGAAAATACGTCGGTTTATAATGTGTTTTTAGCACTGTTCACGTCTAATCGACCCCACAAATATAAGTTTTTAAGCCAGAAATATTTGGACAAATAATGTATCGTTCGGAATTCCGACACTTAGACATTTAAATGCTCCTCGGTATATAAAAATGAGAGTTGACTTATCCCTCTTTCACCTTTTTCTCTTTTTTCAATTAAATTGCTAATTAATTGGAATTGATTTGAGCTTGTTTTATCTGCTTCAATTGGATTGTTATGCTTTAAAAATATTTTTAATTTTTTATTTAAAAACATCTATTCAACCTTCCACCCACTACAAACAAATTCATAAAAATCGTTGCAAGGATTGACAGATTTATTTATTGAAGAAACCAATTCGGGATATTCATAAAATAAATTTGAACTTATATCATCTGCTACATGTTTATCTTGAATTATTTCAACAATTAATAAAAGTTTTGAAAAAGAGAAGAGAGTTAAAAGTGTTTGAAAAGTGAGGAGAGTTAAGAGCGGTTTCCGGCCTTTTCCAAAATTATTTTTAGCAAGTTAAGGATTATTCTGGATATCGGAACCATGAAGAACAATTAAGTTGCCTATTTTAATTTAATGGCAACTTATGATGGAAAAGTGAAAAAATTTTTTGCTTAAGATATTCCGTAAGTTTTCTCGCTACTAGAATTTTCATTTATGAAGGATAAATAAATAGGTAAACATGAATGATTTGAAATTTGTCTAATCAAGGAAAGACTTTTACTAAGTTTACTTTATTATCTAAGAACTTAAGGCCATAAGATTATACTTACCGTATAATCTTTATTAATTGTCCTCCCTCACCACGCCCATTAATTACCCCAGCAAATGCTCTAAAACACATTCAAATTTCAAACCTCGTATACTTACCCCGCCCCCCCCTCTATTAAATACTTCAACGAGCGGAAGGTCGAAACAATAATTACCTAGGGTAATTAATAAAAGCTTTACAGTATTTCTGTATCTAATTCTTCCTTTAATAATTACCTGAAGATTCAACTTCCAAAAAGTCTGCTGTTATATTAATACTGCTTAACTCTATTAGGCCATTAGACGACGAATAATGAAGTTCTGGGATTAATAAAGTAATATTTTTAGCTGTTAACTTATAATCCTTTTTTTCATTTTCTGAAGAAATTTTATTTTGATTTATTTCATTTTCTATTATTTTTTCTGTAGGCAATAAATTAGCTAAAGCAAGCAAAGAATTGTTGAATAATGGGTTTTCATTGTTTAATAATTCAGTTTGGGCGATTAAATTAATTAAAGAAAGTATTAGGAGTTTCAAATAAATTCTAAGGTCGTTCATTTTATTTACAAGTTTGAAGTACCTAGAGAATTAAAGTTTAAAATTTTTGTAAAATTTAATAATTTTGTGGAAGGCTCTGGTTATAGTGATCCTTCAAAGGCAAATAAAAAAAATCAAGCTTGAAGACCTGCCCATAATAATAGAGGAATATATGTATAGGGCCCTTATTGTGATGAATTAGAAAATTTTGATCCTTCCTAAAGATAGTCAAATAGATCATTAATAAAAATCAAAGCCATGTTTTATTCAATTTTGCTGAAGAAAAAGTCCAATAAGTCTTGATTTAGGAATAAAGACTAAAAGTCATATAAGCCTTAGACATTATATCCTTAATTTAATTAACCTTACTTGATTTGTTCATAAAATCTCGCCTATCCTAGCCTTAACGTACATCATAGTTCCCAACCAAAATATGTAGAGTAAAATTCCCTTAATTTCAAAAATTCGGGAGTTCCTGATATTTTTGGGTAAGGAATCCCGAAGGTCAATAATTTATTTTTTGTTGTTCTGACAATATATTTAATTTAATTTTTAACGAAAATTCGCTAAGCACAAAATATCCGAGTTATTAAAAAAATAATTTATTTAATTTATTTTAATTGGCAATTTAACAAATTTAATGAAAGCAATGTATAAGATTTCATTAAACACTTGAAATTTGTTTGAAATAAATAAAGAAAAAATGTGTGAAGATGAGTAGAGCTATTGAAATTTTAAATTGAATTATTTACTATTGTGATATTTGTTTACTTTTTTAAATTATAAGTGGGGTAAGATTTGAAAATTTAAATTTTGAGAATTTCTAATCGAATTTTAAAATTTTGAAAAAATTCTTAATATCTAAAATTTTGTAAATCTAAAATGAAAATATTTTAATTTCCAATAAAATAAAAAAAAATAAAAAATATTTTTTAATAATTTTTAAAAATTTGAAAATTCGAAAATCTGGATTTTTGAATTTATTTTAAAAATTTTAGAATATTAAAAAATTATGTTTTATGTAGCAAAAAACAAAAAAAACTATCTAGAAAAGTCTAAAAATTAGTAATAAGTATTAATTGGGATAATAAAAAATAATAAATACGACTGTCGCAATAATTTATTTTTAAATAAAACATTGTTTGAACAGAGGTTACTATCTTAAGCAATAGGTAGGATAACTATGAACATTATACAAAAAATGGAAATAGGTAAGTTAAGTTCGTAATTTTAAAAGAATGGAAAGAATCAGAATTTTAAGGATAAGTTCCATTAAATTAAGCATAAAGTTGTAATAAAAATGAATATAAAAAAGTGTGCCTGCTTAAAAATTATCGAAAGATTAAGAGGAATTTGGAGGATAACTTTGGATTAAGGAAGATAAGAGGGATAGCAGAAGATTAAGAACTCAGGTGAAGTTCCTTGATATCTCGTTTAAACTCTTCTCAGTATCAATGAGTTTTGAAAATTCTAGTCACCAATTGGAATCGAAACTACATTTTTGATATGTATCCCTCTAAATAAACCCAAATCCATCAATATTCTCTTAATCAAAATTTACCACTAAATCACTTCAAGTCCTACAACATCCCATGAAATCCCTCGCTATCTCCTCAAATCTGCTTAAATTATTAGCAATAATAATTCGCAACAATAATTTTTTGGGTGTTGATGAAAAAGTGAATGTTTTGGGGTATTGGAATTTACTTTTAAAGAAATGAAAAAGACGAAGCATAGAAAAGAATGATTAAGCCTAAATTTTTAAAAAAATATATATAAATTTGGAAAAGAAAATTAAAAGAATCATCAAAAAAGTTTATGAAATAATAATAAAAATAAATTTGGAATTTTGTTAAAATAAAAATAAAATATTTTTAAATAATTCCGATTTTTAAATAGATAATTTCGTGTTTTCGCCTAGATGTTTGGTCAAGATTTCTTAACCAACACATTTTAAAATGGTATATTCAGGGAACCAAATAAAAAGTTAAAATTTTTGTAACATTGTCATCTAATTTTTTAGTAAATTTTGCTTATAAAAATGCCAAAAAGAGACAAAAAGTCATGTGTGTGTATTAACTTCCAGTCCAAAAATTATATTTTTTTCTAGCTAAAACATCAATACTTGCTTAGAAATAGGAAAAGAAAAATTCTTTTTCTTTCTACATAAAGCCTTCATTTAAATATTCAATTTGTATTAATGCCTTATAGAAAGAAAAATGCCCGAAAGGCAGAAATGCTGGGTAAGTGAGAGATAAAAATTGGTCTCTAAAAGACTAAAGAAGACTAAAGAAAGCTTAGTGGCTTAAAGAAGGAAAAAATGTGAAAACGGCAATGGAAAAGCCTTTCTAGCAATTTGAAATTTAATTAAAAATTTAACTGAAACCCTTTATTTGGTAATAAGTTCAAAATGGTAAAAAAGCAAAAAAGTAATATTTATTGAAGGCTGTATTGTGAGAGTCATACGATATAGGTATCTTGAAAAATCTCGATCTCAATAACCGAACTTTTCAGTTGGGATCATATTTTTATTTAGGCATATCTCCAGTCTCTTAAATGGAAATGTTAAGAAATATTAAATGTCTCATCTATCTAAAAATCGGCACACGCCAAAGTAGACGCGCGGCCATAACGGCACAAAGCCAAAACTTGCTGGAAATTTTCTGGCCCTTATCAATTTTGGTCCAAACTCTTTATCTCAATGAGAAGAATCGTTTAAACTAAAATTGGTAAAATTCAGAAATCTTGAAGCATGTTATGGGCTTGCATCGTACTACTTGGGCTGTACCCTCTAAAATCAGAACCGACGAAAAAATGGAAGAAATTTAAAATTGTTTGAATATTTAAAATGATTTTTAATTTAAAAATGTTGCTGATTCATAAATTAAAATTTTTAAATTAATTTTTTTGGAAAAATTTTTTTAGGAATTGTATTAAATAGGGGAAATGGGAATAAGTATAAAATTTTATTGTTGTTAAGCTTTAATTGTGAAAATAATACTACAATAGGATTATTTCTCTAAAATTTTTGCAAATAAAAAAAGGTGGGTGGGTTAAATAAATAAATTTTAGTGACGAATATTTGACAATAATTAAAAGTTTTGTTAAAATTACACAATATGAGGAAGGACAATCAAAAATTATTCAGAAAAAGTTAAATTTCTGTTGCGACAATTTTTGTGTTTAGTTAGATTCGGGGACGGTACCCTAATATTCTTCAGTATTTCTCTCAATTTTTTCTGTATTTCTCTCAATTTATCTCCATAGCATCTAAAGGAATTACGTTACGGAATAGAATAATTTCAAAATTCCGACCTCGAGTTTAGTTCCTCTTTCTTAATTCAATCATCGTTGTGTATTGTAAATTTTTATACGAGACTACCAATCAACTATAGAAATGATCTAATTTGGCCTTGATCTTTCCTTCCTATCATATTTATACGATTTCTTTAAGTGCATTCTTTAAATAGTCTAGCAAAACATTAAAGAAATAAACGAATTAAACTTTAGATCAAGTCTAAAATAGTACAATATGTAGTTGGGACCCTCTATGTCTTTGCCAGTCTTATAATTATTTTTTAAATGTTTTATTTTAACTAAGAATTATTATATATTTTTTTAAATATTCCATCATATTTATAGTATTTTGATAACTGAAAAGCAAGGCATAATGTTCGATATTTTTGTAGTCTAAATGTATATCATAGTTGTGGACAACGACTGAAACAATTATTTTTATTTTTATTAATTTCTAATTATAAAACCTCACAAATTAAAAATTATAAAAGTTTTACGTTTTTAACCTTGATTTATTTAATATTTTAATATTAAAATAGTGTAGTTAGTTTGTTGTGTATTGTGTCATTATAGTATAAAAGCCAGTGAAAGCGTCAGTCTCTAGCGGGGCTAGTCACTGTTCCACATTGTTCATTTCTACATCGGATAAACTGTTATTCTTGTGCACGTCAACATTAGTTAAATCTCGGACATAACCGGACAACCTCCGGTTGTAGCTTAGTTATTAAAAGAGCTATTTGTTTTTTTATTTTAGATGTTTAAATTTATAATTCTTTGTATTTTATATCTAAATATTCATTTAAATTTAAATTGCAATGGAAGAGTAGTTAACGTTGGAGTGAAAATCAAGGATGATTGGGAAGAAAAAAGAGAATTTATTTATCTAAAAAATGTTGAAATAAAGAAACGTTTTGTATTGATAAAGAAATTAAATACAAAGAATAAATTAGACGATAATCTCTACGGTAACCCTAAACTGTATAGCCAACTTGAATTTAATCCTGATAAAAATATTTTCAATGTCAAAATAAATAATACTTCAAAATATATCTCTCAATTAAAGAGAAAAATTTTTATTGGAATTGAAAATAATGGAATTATTCAAAAAATTCTGCCTGATTTGGAAAAACAGGTATAGTACAATAACTTATACCTAAATACTGTAAAGCATATAGCTATTTAATGCCTAAGTCTGGTCTATTGAGGCCCGCTTACTAAGTCCGGTTATCAGTTCTGTCTCCCAGCCGCAGAATAACCTTTTGCACTAGCTAAAGGAGAGAAATAGCTATAACCCAGCTACCTTACTATACATAAATTTAATTTAAAATTTAAGGTGCTCCTAAATAATAATTTTACTATTGTAAATAATTATTATGAAACCTCTATATTGGATGAGAGTTTAGAAAATATTAAAAGTAATAAAAAAGAAATGTTAATAGAAAACAGTGAAAATTATAAAAAGAAAATTTTGTCAGGTTATTGGAAGGAAATTAATTTAATTGGATATAAAATTGAATTGTTAGAAAAACAAAAAGTTGAATATTTGAAAGAAAAAAGTAGAATTATTTACATAGAAAATCAAATAGGTAAATTTTATTTTATTCATGGCTAACGCAATCATTGTGGCCAGAGCTGCGTCTAAGAAAAAAATCTTCGAAAATCGGAAATCGAAAGAAAAAAACGTCGAAAATTGAATATCGAAATTTCGGCGCATCTCTGCTTGTGTCCCTATACAT